GCGTACCGCAAAAAAAAAAAAAAAAAAAAGGAAGGAGATTCTGACACAAACTACACCGTGGATGGACCTTGAGGACATGATGCTCAGTGAGATAATCCAGACACAAAAGGACGAATACTGTGATTCCACTCACAGGAGGTCCCTAGAGAATCAGATCCACAGAGATAGGAAGTAGATGGTAATGACAGGGGCTGGGGGAGGGGATGGAGAGTCAGCGTTTCCTGGGGACAGAGTCTCAGTTTGGGAAGATGAGAAAGTTCTGGAGATGGACCGTGGGGATGGTTGCACGACAGTGTGAATGTGCTTAATGTCACTGAGCGTGCTCTTAAAAATAATTAAGATGGTTAAGTTTTACACTGAGTATTTGCCACAATTACATAAAAACAAAACCAGCTTCCCACACTCACCACGTCGTCCTCATACCCTCCAGCCAGGACCAGGGAGTACGCCCCATCGTTGCTCCGGCCGTGGATGCCTGCCACATGAGGTCGATGGACCCCAGACTCGCTGACCTGTGAACACCACCGAGAAATAAGTGGCACCTCCTGGACCAGCCGCTGCTCGACCGCCTTCTTCGCTCCCGCCTTTGGAGCCAGCGCCTGACTCTTCCACTGAAAGCATCACTCCTGTTATGAGAACCTCTGCCCCCGAGAGACCGAGTCCTGGCCACGCCAGGGAAGGACCTGGTGTGAATCCTCAGCCTCCTGCCCTTGGGATAGCCCTCCCCAGTGGAGGGGCTCCTGGAAGGCTGGGGCCCGACATCTGCAGGTACCTGGACTCTGAACCTCCACATGGTGCCCACGGGGATGCCCGGGATGGGGCCAAAGTGGTTGGACGGCACGATGGTGCACTCCTTGGTGCGGCCCACGCACGCCATGCCCTGTCCATTCCGAAACAGAGGGGAGAGCAGCGTGAACGGCCGCAGGGGCGTGGGGGGCGGCAGGGGCACACGGGGCGCGGGTCCCCTCACCTTGCCCCAGTCGCGCTGTGAGGACGACGTGGCCGACGCCATCTTCGCCTTCTTCTTACTCTCCTTCAGCTTCTCGCCTGCCTGCACCACCTCGCTGGAGTCGATCCGGCACTCGGGGCAGTACCTGCGGCCACAGGGACGTCACCCTCTGCCCGCGGCTGCACGGCCGCCTCCTTCCGGCCCCCTGCCATCCTGTGCGTCCAAGACCAGGGCGGCGGCAGGGGGCCGAACTTGAATCCACGAGCGTGACGTAAGAAAGCGAGTTCCTCGGTCGCACGGGCCACATCTGAAGTAGCCGCATGTGGCGAGTGGCGCCCGTGGTAGATGGCGGACCCTGACCCCCTCCCACTGGCAATGGCAGTGCCTCCCACGGCAAGGCCAAGTCCAGCCGGCACGTAGCAAACACACAGGGCAGCTGGACGGCACCTGCTCCCTGCCGTGGACTCGGTTTCCCCATCTCCACGGGGCAGGGATGGCGCAAACGATAGCCACTGCCGTTAGCTGGTCAGGGTCCTCAGACCACAGCCGAGCATCACAACCGTCCCCTCCAGCACCGGGGACACCTGCTGCGCTCCTGCCCGCCTTGCCTCCTCCCTGCAGGGAGCCGGGGCCCAGGCCTCGCACCCGCCCCCCACCGTCATCGCGGGGTCACTGGCAGCCTCCGGGCACTCACCACTCCTCCTCGGTGGGGATGCTGCTGAGCGGCGGGCACAGGCAGTACATGTGGAAGGCCATGTCGCACTCGTCGCACAGCAGCTGCTTGTCGGGGTCCTGCTTGCCCCCGCACAGGTGGCAGGCACACATGCGGCACGGCT